TCACATGAAACATGCCTTAGGTTACAAGTAAGACTGCACTCATCACCAAAAACCTGACTCAAGAGAAAGCAATCTAGAAACTTTTCAAATTGAGATGATTGAGTTGGGTCCAAATCCTCAACCTCTCCCTTTTAAAGTCTTGTCAACCTGTTCCAAATCCAAATCAAGTGGAACCCAGATGAAGGGACATCTGGTCCTCCAGAACATGTCTGGCACTTAAGAGAAAAATAAAGATTAGAACGGATTAAGATTGTTGTGGGTGGAGAGACAAATGGGAGAGGAGAACCAAGCATATTAGAATTTTCTACCTGCAAACAAACATCAATATTAGCATGGGAGAAAGGGGGCAGCAAAATGAGGCACTACCAAGCCAGTCTCTAGTTGAATGTCTTAGACTGTCTGCAAGGAGAGAGGCACTGAAGATTCTTCTCGGACTTTGGTAGCAAAACTACATTCTGCAGTTTGAAGTCCAATCTAATATTGAGGGGTAATTTTATAAGCCTTGGGGGACTGTGAGGTCACCTCATAAGTGAGCTATCACAGGCTCATCTCAGACCCTAAAATCAAACAGTAACATGTAGCATCTACTTCATCTCTAGCCCAAGTATCCAGAATTACTAGACTGAGATAGTGTCAACTCCTGCCTAGACTTGGATTTGATCCCCAGCATAAGTAAGTAGTAAAATATAGTGAGATAATGAAGTGAAATGAGTAGGTAACTGAAGTATATTTTGAATAATAGAAACATATAGTTCTGAAGAATTTCTTTCAAAACTCCTTAGTGCCAGGCATTGGTGGTATGTGCCTGTAATCCCAAAAGGGCCCAGATTCCAGGTCTGCCTGGGCTATTTAGCAAGCCTCAGTCTCAGAGCATCAATATAAGACTAGGATGTCAGATCAGTGTGGGGCACTTGTCCAATTCCTGGTACTGAAACACAAACAAATCATAAATAAAATAAGATATTAAAAGACTGAAACCAAAACAGAACAAAATCAAATTCAGCTGCTATTAGCCACGCCACCAACAGTGGTTGTAATAATAGAAGAATAATAGTAATACCATCACTCAAACAGTACCAGGTGCTACACTAAGTACTTTCTTTCTTAACATACACATGTGGAGTGTAAGTGTTCACGTGTGTATGCAAGTACTAGTGCATGTGTACATTGTGTGTGCAGGTACTACTGCATGCCTGCATATGTGTGTGCAAGTACTATTGCACTGTGCATGTGTGTATACAAGTATTAGTGCATGTGTGCATGTGTGTATGCAGGTACTAGTGCATGTGTGCATGGTATGTACGTGTGTGTGTTTGTGTGTGTGTGTGTGTGTGCATGACACACACACTGACATCAGGAGTTTTCCTGGGTCACTCCCATCTTATTCTTGAAGGCAGTGTCTAGAAACTATTCCAAAAGCTCACCACTACGGCTAGTCTAACAAGTCAGCTTACATGGGGATCCCAGTGCCATGGGGGAGGGCTAGGGGGGGGACACCAGGGGGAGAGGTGGGGGATGAGGAGGGGTATGGTAGACTCTGAGGATCCAAATTCCAGTCCTCACACTCACCTGCCAAACGCTTTAATTACTACGTCTTATCCCAAGCCCCTATTCTAAGCATTTTTAAATATATTCACTTATTAAACCCTCCAGCACTCCTGTGAGTTGAGGTTATTTAACGTCCTGTTTTACAGATGTTTCAACAATACCCCTTTGTTGTTTTGTTGATAATTCAAGGTATCTTTCAAAGAAAATATCTGGAAACATACGGACAGGAAAAGCAGTTTGTCCAAGGTCGGTCAGCTAGAAGTGAGAGACCTGGGACTCCACCCAAGGATTTCCAGCTAGGAAGTTAGGCCTCTTGGCTCACTGTGCAGCCCTTACTGCCCCGTGCTTGGGAAAAAGAGCTAGACAGGCAATATGATAGGAAGCTAGCCTTGCCTCTGCTTGCTCATGGTGAATTAATCCTTGAGCTTTGCTGTTTCCCCAGGACCCTCACCAAACCCACAGAAAGACACTCAGCCTGTTTCCACAACAATGAAAAGTCACTGGAAATGTGACCCACTGTCCCTACCCAGTTGTGACCAAGCCCAGCTTTATTATCGAGTTCACCTTTAACATCTAAGTCAGGAGCTGGTTGGAGGGAGGGGGTTTCTGGCTTCTGGGCCACATTTCCTGCCCAGTAGCAAGGTCTTCAAATAGTCAAGGCAAGGCTGCAGCCTGAGAAATTTCTGCTAAGAAACTTTGTCCAGTGTTGCGAGTAAGGTTCGCAACAGTCCAGGAGCTTGCTTTGGAGCCTTGTTAAGAATGTAAATTCTTGTAAATTCTCGATGGGCGGTGGTGGAGCATGCCTTTAATCTCAGCACTTGGGAGACAGAGGCAGGCAGATCTCTGTGAGTTCGAGACCAGTCTGATCTACAGATTGAGTTCCAGGACAGGCTCAAAAGTGTTTCTCAAAAAAGAAACCCTGTCTCAAAATAAATAAATAAATAAATAAATAGACAAAAAAGAAGAAGAATGTAAATTCTCTGAATAGCCCAATTCAAGGAAGCCCAGAACTAAGGAAGCCGAGTAGTAGCAAAGTTTGTTTATTAACCTGCTGCACCCAAGGGAACATTTTCTGAAAGGGTAAAATTCCTGACTGCTGCTGAAAAAGAAAAATGAAAAAGAAAAGGCCTGTGGGAAATTTAATCACCAGTGGAACAAAACTGAAAAACAAAGCCCTCCCAATGAGGATGTTGCTGTAGACAATGGGCCCCTAACAGGAGGTGCGATTGTCTCCTGATAAGAATCCCCATGGGAAGTGGCTCACACTAAGAAACACATTATTGCTATATTAGCCTAGGAATCTTTGTTCACTGGGCAACTGTGTGCAAAACCATCTGTTATGGCCCCTGGATCCCAGTTTGCAAACGTGGCATTTACATTTCAAGAGGAATGTGAGGAGGGGGGGCACTGAGTATCTTCCCAGCCCCTCCCACAAATACCTTTTCATACTGTCTAGGCTTGGAAGGGGAAACACCCTTTTCAATGAAATACAACTCCACTGTGGAAAGGAGATAGGCCACTTCAATTATGCACACGCAGCGTGCCTGGCAGCCTGGTCCTAAAGCCACACAGGCACAGCTCTCCCCAGTAGGGTTTTCACTTTCTTTGACTAGTTTAAAGGGGAAAGTAACAAGAATAATATTAAACTGTGTTTAGCTTAACCTGGCTCTCCTTTCTTAAACTGGCTCTTCATTTCTTCAAACTGATATGAAAACTGGTGCTCCACACTGTGTAATATTTGGCCTGAAATACCACCAGGAAAAAAGATGCTTTATATATCTTGATCTATGGGGAATATGCATACTACTACAGAATTCACGGAGATGTGCAATTCAGAGTGGCACACCATCCTGTATGGAATTTACACCACAATACACTTTTAAAGCAAAGCATGTCAATATTATATCAAATACATAAACTGGGAATAAACCACGTGCCTATGAGAGGAGAGAGACTATTCTTCCCCCTGTATGTTCCCTTACCTCCAAAATACAATCAGTTTTCCCCAAAAGAATGTTCAAGTTCAAGAACCTGAAAGATAAAGAGTCTTACAACTCTCCACTACCACCAGTAGACAGTCTACAAACGTCTCCCGTGGAGCCTGTGAGGTCCAAGCACAGAGAGAACACCTGTCACACTCCAAGCCTTCAGCCACGCATCAAAAATAAGAGACCAATGTCTCCTTCTCATCTGGTAGTGAATTATCTGGATTCTGTGGACATGCCAGCCCCAGCTTTTAGCAATAGGGTCTGGTATTCTCTGTTTCCTTAACTCCGTTTTTTAAATAGCCCTTCCCTTTGATATTCATGAAGAAGGTTAACCTGAAAGGCGGCAGGCGGCCTGTGGCTGGAGCCTTCCAGCAACTGCCTCTGTAGGCAACTCAGCAGGATTAAATCTGCAGCCTCACAATTCTATCACCAGAACAACAATGGAAACCTGGGTTGTCCCGGGGGTGGGGATGGGGTCGCTAAGTGACAGTCTGAGTAGTACTATGAAGCTCATGCATGCTTGGTCATGACTTAGCTATACACATCCTCCTTTGAACTGCCAGGGCAAGAGGGTTGCGTATCATTTGTCCAAATTGACCTCCCACAACGCATAATTCCGTTGAAATAGGGGTTCCACGAGTGGATCACCTCCCCAACTCTTGCCCTCCACGCGTCCTGAGCCCAAAGACCAGTCGTTTCAGAATCGCAGGGCTGCTAAGCTGCACCTGCAGATAGACATCATGAATCAGGATCTCCCAGCGAGCGCTTCCTGGACTGAGCCGAGAGCTCCAGTGATTTCCTTGGCCTTCCACCGAGGCATTTAAGAAGTGAAATGTGTCAGGTATACGGCCTGCTGGAGCCCACCCTGCGGTCTCTGGGGGCAGCCAATGACCGGGTAGCGTATCTACGGATAGTGCACTCGCAACTAGGTCTTGCAGGTTCCCCCATGCTATGCTCTGCGCCAGCCTCGCACCTGAACTGGTGCCAGAACACAGTCAAGAGGCTCTCTGATGGGTATGAACCTCTGTAGAGACACTGCCAACTCCGCTCCGGAAGGGCGAAGAGGGAGGCCAAGAGGTGGAATGTGGAGCAGGGAGCGGGACACCCTGAAATGCGGCTCCCTCAAGGACTCTGGAAGCTCGAGCCCCTGACGCGTTTGCAGCGCTTCTCATGACAGCGCTTGCAAACCGAGCCGAGATTGCGAGCTCTGCAAGCAGCAGGGATGAAGGCGCAGGGGACCGCCTCCTGCCCCTAGGCGCGCTGCTAAACCGCAGTGTCCCTCTGTTCACGCCCACCACCCCGGGCTCCAACGCCAGGAGAACTGCAGTCCGCTGGAGGCCGCGGTGGGTGACCTAGGGAAACTGGCCACGAAAGGGGGGGGGGGGGGCTGGACCCGCGATCGCTGAGCGCGGGGCAGCAGCTCTGGGCGCCCCTGAAAGGCCGCCGGTCGCCGCCAGCACCTACCTCGATCCACTTTTGTGCCTCAGCAAAGGCAGGCTCCGGAGGTGGTTCGGGCTGCAGGGGCTGAAGGGCTTCCAGACCGAGAGCGGGGCAAGCCATCTGCGAAGCCCGGCGAGTACTGGAGCGCTTGGCCGCTGGGATGAGCACAGCCGCCTCCGCAGGAGCGCGCTCTCCGCCCCTTCCCGCCCGCCGCGCTCTCCCGCCGCCTTCCCCGCCCCCACCCCGCGCAGGTCCCGGAGGACAGCGGCGCGCACTGCCGGAGGACGCCGTGGCCACCTCGGCCTGTGTTGCCCAGCCTGCCGCTCCGTCCCCTCCCCCAGCTAAAAATAACCTGCCAGGAGCGCCGGGCGTCCCTCTCGGCTCACGCAAGGACCGTGGGAGGGACTCGGCTGGCCACTCGGCATGTCCTGCCACAGGCCCAAATCCTATGGGGGAGGGGGTCAAGCTACACCTGGGTGAAGTGGGGCAGGGAAACAACGCTACTGCGGCTGGACTGAAGCAATTGCTAGCACCTGCTGACCCTCCCAGCCACAGACCTGAGGTCAAGAGCCTGGCCCTGCAGCCTTAAGTATTCAGAAGGCTGTCACCAGATCTTTATGCTAAAAGAGGAGGGGACTCCAACAAGCTATCTGGGCCCTAGTCTATTGACTCAGTCAAAGGATTTATTCAGCTCCTATCATTTGCCAGTCACCAAGCTAGGCACTGGGGACTGACAGATGGAGCAGGGGCTGGAAGACATGACAACAAACAGAAAACCTCTTAAAATTTGTGCTGGTTCATTTTATGTCAACTTGATGCACACTAGAGTTATCTGGAATGAGGGGACCTCAATTGAAAAAAAAAAATGCCTACGGAAGATCTGACAGTAGGGCATTTTCTTAATTAGTGATCGACAAGGGAGGACCCAGCCCATTGTGAGTGATGCCATCTCTGGGCTGGTAGCCCTAGATTCTGTAAGGAAGCAGGCTGAGAAAGCCATGAAGAGCAAACCAGTAAGCAGCATCCCTCCATGGCCTCTGCATCAGTTCCTGCCTCCAGGTTCCTGCCCCAGTTGAATTCCTGTCCTGACTTCCTTCAACAGATGAACTATGATATAGACAAATAAACGCTTCCCTGGCCAAGTTGCTTTGTTCGTAGTGTTTCATCACAGCAGTAGTTACCCTAACTAGGACACAAATTGAAGATCTTGCCTTCAAGAGATGCACATTTAGGCAGGGATATAGCTCAGCTGAAAAGTGCTTACCTATCATGCATGAGATCCTGGTTTCCGTCTCCAGCACTGATAGTACACGTGGTCATGGAAACACAGACCTGCAATCCAAGCACTCAGAAGGTGGATGGAGGCAGAAGATGAGAAATCCAAGGTCATCCTTTGCATGCAGTGAACGTAAAGACAGCCCAGGCTATATGAGACATCCCTCTCTGTATATTTCTCCACTATGTATTCACGATATAGATATTCCCATGGGGGCACAGACAATAAACATGCAAATCAAAAGATGTTTGTAAAATGTGTTATCTGCTAAGATATGAGGAGATGACTATGTTAAGGAGAGAAAGTGCTAGTTGGTTTTTAATAGCCTGTTCATTTTTCTCCAGAAATGGCTGTACCTGTGTGTCCTGGTGCTGTCAGCGGGAGGCAAGCAGGCTGGCAGAGGCCTAGAGGAGAGAGATGCAGAGGAAGAAATGGGAAGTTTATTTTGATGTCTCCCTGAGGCACTGGGGATGGGCACCACTACTCTGAAGCAGCTGAGGTCTCACCTCCATGGGCCCTGTCTTCTCTTGTCCCAACCCTACCTATACTATCTGATTTCCCACTCTTGCCCCTTTCCTTCCAGTCACCCCTTATTTTTGCTCTGTCACTTCAACAGTGTCTCAGTAAGCTCATTGTGTTGTGTGACAAAACTTTTCCTGGGGAGATGAAACCCATGTGTCTACTCACCCCAGACATAGGTCCTATGACAGATGAAATATAACCCAAAGTCCAACTTGGTAAACCAGTAAGTTTTACTGGGGTTAGTTACAAGGATGTGGGTAAGGAGTTGCTTACAGGAGCAGAAATGACTCAAAGACAGCTGCATCACCAAATCCCATCTCAGCATGGGTGACAACTCACAAAGCTGGGAACCTGGAGCCCACTGCACAGCCTGCAGGCAGCTCAGCAGGTTGGAGAGTGTCCTCTCCAGATGCCTCAGTTGGTCTACACCTCTTCCAGGTAGCTCTGTTGGGCTCTTCTCTTTTCCTCCTTCTCCTCCTCCTTCTTATTCTTCTTGATTTTTTGAGACAGGGTTTCTCTGTGTAGAGCAGGCTGGTCTCGAACTCACAGAGATCCACCTGCCTCTGCCTCCCAAGTGCTGGGAATAAAGTCTGAATTTAGTTTGAGTCCAGTTCTGCCACTACAACACAAAGCAGGCTTGAAATTGCACTGTTCTCTGCTTGGGAGCCAGGTGGCCTACAATGTATAAACTGTAAAAACACTCACATGATCCTTGAGTGGGGCCAAACACAGTTCTCACTGCAATACACATAGGTGACCAACCTAAACTTTATTCTAGCCTTGTCATCATTGCTTTGAGGCAGCCAGAGACCAGAAGAAAGCTAGGATATAAGCTCAGACAGCCCTCATCCAGGCCTGCTATAACACCATGCCCACCTTCCTTCCCATTCCTGTTCAAACTGCCTTACATTTGTGCCTCAGTTTCTTCCTGTCAAATAAAGCAGTCAAGCCAACCAGCAGGATCATGGACAAGAACAAACAAGGTGACTAAAGATGAAAAAACAGATGCTCTTTAGTTCACAGTGCTTAATAGAGGCCAGCTGACCCTTGCATCCTGCCATCCAAAACAGAGGGAAAGGAAGATATGCAAAACACTTAAAGAAGGCCACTAGAGGAAATGGGCTAAGGGAATGCAGTCTGAAAAGAACCTTGTCTCCAGGAAGACACCAAGAGCTTATAAAACAGCTCCAATACAATGACAATAAACTGTCACCATGGACTTCACTGCTTGGTAAGTAAAGGGAAGGAAACAGGTGACCTAGATGACATCTGAATTCAGACTGTCAGTGCCATAGTGCACACCTATAATCCAAGCACTGGGTAGGCGATGGCAGGGGACTGCAAGTTTGAGACCAGTCTGGGATACATATTGAGCTCAGCCTGGACTACATAGCAAAAGGTTTGTAATGCAACTCAGTAGTAGAACGTGTGATAGCATGTTGAAGGCCCTAAGTCAATCCCAGCACAAATAAATAAGTAAATAAAGTCACACAATACACAGTTTATCATATGTGGCTTCTTAAAATATTTTTAAGATTCATCCCTGGAGTGTAACAGATTGTATCAATGTGTCAGTATTTTGTCATTTTTTTTTTTAAATTAAAGAGTTGTAATCTCACTGTGTCCTTCAGATGGGTTTGATGATGCTATTACCTCAGTCCCCTTAGTAACTGGATGTACAGGTAACGCCGACCATCACGACCATGCTCCATTCCTTTTTATTACCAAAATGTATTAATATCCATTCATTAGTTGGACATTTGGGTTGTTTTCACTTTGGGGTTGCTGTGAATAATGCTATTATAAATATTCATGTGCATGTTTGTATAGAAATATGTTTTCTCTTGTGTACTTGCCAAGATAAGTTTATGTTCAGCTTGTTGACAAACTACCAGGCAATTCTCCTTTGCATCCACATTATTCTACATTCCTACCAGCATTGCATGAGGGTCCAATTTTTTCATATTCTTACCATGCTTAGATTTTTTTGTTTTGTTTTGTTTTTTTGTTTTGAGACAGTTTCACCATGTAACCCTTGAGAGGGCTGGAACTCATGTTGAGTAAGCTGGACTCAAAGTTATAGAGATCCACCTGCCTCTGCCCCCTGAGTGCTAGGATTAAAGATACATGCCACCACCATGTGGAACCCAGACTTTTGTTGTAACCTTGGCAGTGTATATGAAATGGAATTTAAGTTTTCTGTTTTGTTTTGGAGACAGGGTTCCATGTATTCCACACCAGCCTCTACCTCCCTATAAAGCCAAGGAAAACCTTGGACATTAGATGCCCTTGCCTTCATCTCCTAGTTTATGCCTTGCTGGGGATCAAACCCTGGGCTTCACAAGAGCTGGGCAACCTTTCTGCCAAGTGAGCTACATCCTCAACCTTTGATTATAATTTTAATTGTATATCTCTGGGAGCTAATAACAATGGGTATCTTTTGAAATGAATATTGGCCACTTACATGTCTTCTTTGGAAGAGCATCTATTCCTTTTCTTTCATTGTTTTATTCCTTTCTTTCTCTTTACTGTTTATGTTGTTTGTTTGTTTGTTTGTTTTCTAAGTAGATCATTATATATATATATACAATATATATATATAATATATATATAACTCAGTCTGCTCTGATATTTATGAAGATTCTGCCTCAACATCTCAAGTACTGGAATTACAGGTCTGCAACTCAAAGCCTGACTTTTTTTAGCATTCATTAATTTAATTCTTTTCTTTCCTTTTATTGTTGAGATATAAGAGTTATTAATATATTCTAGATACAAATCCCTTATCAGGTATATTATTGCAAATTTTTCTCTCCCATTCTGTGTGCTGAATTTTTACTTTTAAAATTTTTATTTTATTTTTTTCTATGTGTGTGTATGCATGTGTATATGCACAGTGGTGCCCAAGGACAAAAGGGATGTCAGATCCCTTGGAACTGGAGTTACAGGAGTTTCTGACTTGCCCAGTGTGGTGCTAGGATCCAAACTGGTCCTCTAATAGCATAGTGAAAGCTCTTAGCTCCTTGGCCATCTCTAGCCTTAATTTTCAGTTTCTTCATGGCATCTGTTGAAGAACAGATATTTTCCATTTTTGTAGTCTAAAATATCCATTTTATAATTTTGTTGCTCAGGGTTTTGGTGTCAGAACCAAGATATAATAGATTAATGGAAGCTCACAAAATTTTATGTGTCTTTCAAAGAGTTTTATTGTTTTAGCCTTAGTATATCCGTAGTTCTCATTAAAGCACAGATCTTAAGGTCAAGCAAACTTAATGGGATAGTCTGGGTCCGTTGAGAAGCAAAAACCAAAGTGCGTTTTCAGGTGTGAAGACCTTATGAGGAAACTGTCTTCATGCAAAACTACAGATGGAGTCCATGAGTGCTGGAAAAGCTGAGTGACTTGGAATGGTGAAGC